TTTTAAATAGCTGCATATTTTTGTTCTTAGAGTTGTCAATAACTCGGGGGAAAAACCCACTCTCATTAATCAATCCTAATTTTAGCTAAGCAGTTGCTGCCTGTGGAAAGAAAAGAAAGAAAAGGAATAGAGGGGAAATCTATAGAAAAATGACACAGAAAATGTTATTGACAAATAACATAGGAAAAAATCAACAAATGTAGAACATTCACCTTAAAGTCACCACCACCCTTTATTCTCAGAAAATTAATAAGAATATCTTTTGCTTTGTATCAGGCACTTTCCTTAGCAATTTATCAGCGTTCACTAATTTAATTTCCATAGCAATTCACCATTTTGCACATTGAAGAAGTTGAAGCATACAGTAAAATAACCAGAGTCATGAGAGCAAAGGGTAAACCTGTAATTTGAACTTGGGAGTCAGTTTACACCGTTAATGCATCAGGTTAGTGTGCCTTGGTAATTCTTCCTCTTGTTCTTTCTTCATCACCTACCCAAGCAGCTCAGTTCCCTGAGCTAGCAAAACTGAAGCAAATGCACCATTTCCTTTTGACTCTCCCTGCAGGCACTCACCTTCTAAGGAGGTTCAAATCTTTGCAGCCAGATCACAAAAATATCTTTGGGCACATGACACAAAACAGTTTCCTTTTGTTTCTTCTTTCTTCTCTTTTACATAGAATCAAGTTTCCAGACAGCTGCGCAATTGTCCCCTTTTGTCTTGGTTTATCTTACAGTATTAATTAAGACTTTACAACCCCCAAATAAAGCAAGAGATTGTAAAAAGAAAATGGTGAAATGGGCATGGAGACTTCCCTTAACGAGCCCCAGCTGGGGAACGTTTGTTGAATGTGTCTGCTTGCTATGACAAAATACTTTCCTATACATTCCCCCAAATAGCTTGATTTTTTTAAAAAAATTGATAGATGGATTCAACTTTGTCTTTAAACCATTGATCTCTTGTTTTTTTTTTTTTGTCTGAATTTCTTCTCAGAAAAAAAAAATCTGTTGGCAAATATTCAACTACCTTGATACCCTCTGTAATGCAAAAATACTTATAATATGTATAGGATGGGACATTTATATGTGCATTGTGATAAGTGATTTAGCATATACAGTTCTCAGAACATATCACTAGCAATAACAAGGAAGAGCATGGCTTCATTTCTGGCTTCTAAACGAGAGAGAAACACCTAATAATACTGTGACCCAAGAGATGGGGTGCTTTCTTTTTTTCTCACATTTTCATGGAACAAGTTACTCATTTAGATACTGACACAAAATTGTTTTGTTGAAGTAACTGTCATAACACTAGTGAGTGACTCATCCTCAAAAAATGTCAGCAGCGCATTAGCAAGTCTGAACTGGCACTAATGTACCAATCACCATGAACTGTCAATTTCCATCACAGTGTCCTCTCGCAGCACCAAGAACTGGGAATGTCTGTGAAATTGCAGAGGAAGGCAGAAGACAGCCAAACGGACAAACTCAGCTGCCTGCCACCTTCACTATCAGAGAACAATGGCAAAGCATCTGGAATCAAAGAGGATGGCAATGACAGCTAATATTTATTGAATTGTTCTTTGCCTGGAATTAGTCAAGGGTTTTACATACACAGTAAGTCCTCACTTAACATCATCCATCAATAAATTCTTGGAAACCACAATTTTAAGTGAAACTTTGTATAACAACACCAAAACCCCTAAGCCAGTGGTCGGCAAACTCATTAGTCAACAGAGCCAAATATCAACCGTACAACAACTGAAATTTCTTTTGAGAGCCAAATTTTTTAAACTTAAACTTCTTCTAATGCCAGTTCTTCAAAATAGACTCGCCGAGGCCGTGGTATTTTGTGGAAGAGCCACACTCAAGGGGCCAAAGAGCCGCATGTGGCTCGCGAGCTTCAGTTTGCCGATCACTGCCTTAGGCTAATTGACAGAAACAAGAGTAATGTTCTTAATTGCATATTTCTGGTCACAAACATATCACTAAACTTCTGTATCAAGACTCAAAACACTTTTCACATGAAACATTGAAATAAATGTGAGCGATATGTAAACTTAACAAATAGTAATTGAAACAAGGAAGAATTATTTTCCAACTCCCTTGTTCTAGTTCAGGGTTGCAGGTGGCTGGAGCCTGTCCCGCAGCTCAGGGCACAAGGTGGGAACCAACCCTGGACAACCCTCCATCGCAGGGCCACACACACTCTCAGAGTGAGACAAGGCAGACACTAATTCACCTAACATGCTTTCCTTTGGGATGTGGGAGACAGCAGGAGAACCCAGAGAAAACTCCACACAGGCAGTGGCCCTGGCCTGGAATTGAATTATTTTCCTCTTCACCAACACGGTAACAAAACAACATTGAGACCTGACCGGTTTGGCTCAGTGGATAGAGCGTCGCCTTGCAGACTGAAGGGTCCCAGGTTCGAATCTGGTCAAGGGCATGTACCTTGGTGGCGGGGACATCCCCAGTAGGAGATGTGCAGGAGGCAACTGATTGGTATTTCTCTCTCATCAATGTTTCTGACTCTCCCTCCCCCTCTCTCTCTGTAGAAAATCAATAAAAATATATTAAAACAAAACAAAACAAAACAAAAAAGTTGAATGAAACATTTTTGAGGTCCTGCTGTCCTGTTTTGTTTATTACTTCCACTAGCCCTATACATACGTACTATTATTAATGCCATTCCAAGAGGAATACACTGAGGCATAGAAACATGATGTGAATTGACCAAGATCACACAGGTTGTGAGCAGCAGAACTAAAATTCAAACCCCAATCATTCGAATCCAAAATTCATGTGTTTTCTGGTGAAACTGTACTTCAGGGTTTCTCAGCCACAGCACCATGGACAAACACACACACACACACACACACACACACACACACACACACACACACGGCCAGATCATTCTTTGCTTTTAGAGTCTGCCTTGTAGAACTGAGGATGCTTAGCAGTTTAGCAACATCCCTGGCCTCTGCCCACTAGATGCCAGTAGCTCCCTCTCTCCCCAGGCCCCTGTCCTGCTGATGGCAGCCCCAAATGTATCCAGGCCCTGCCCAATGTCCTTTAGGAGGCAAAGTGCCCCTTCCCCCAGGATGAAAACCACCGTTTTACTCCCACCCATCTTTATACTGACTACACAGGGCGTCCCAAACACATAAAGACACACTTTACCCACACAGCTGACAACTCACTTAATTTTCACTTAATTAAAACTTTCAGGTTTAACTGGTTTGAAATAAAGGCTGAAGCCAGACTAAGTTTTGAGCAAAGAAAATGTATGCACTAGACTTTTTTATGGGGATACAAAACCGGCCACTATTGACGAAGTGAGAGTGCACAAATACCTCAAGAAATGACCCTTGATGTTTGTGATTCCCTTGCTTCCCGCTATCAGCAGTGCCTGGACCAGAACGGTCATCAGTTTGAAAACAGGCATTGACAAAATAAAGTATTCATTTCTGCAGATTCTTTAAAATTTTGAAAACAAAATGTATCTTAATAAGCACTGACTTCATAATAATTTAAAATGTGTACCAAGTATACATTGTTTGGGACACCTTATATAATATTGTGTTATTAAACAAATCAGAAATATCATTTTAATGGCTAAATATATTTTATTGAATATTAAATAAGTGCTACACCTAAAATAGTACTTTTAATTAATTTATAAAGAGAAATTTGTACTTGAGAATTTAAAACTATCAGGTTCTTTGAAATCTACCCTTTTGGTGTATTTTAGATATAGATATAAACTTCATAAATAATAATCAGGAGGTGTTTTATATCACAAAGACTATTAATTTCCTCTTTTAAAATATATTGTCAACATTTTTAAAAATGTGTTGTCATTTTTCTCCTGGTATGCTTTAGAAGATAAAAATGAAGGAGACTTGTGTGGGTAACAGATTTAACAGTGAAAGAGTTTATTTGATTACTGTATACAGACATGGCCTAAGTTACAATCAAATAAGGTAAAACTGCATGTCTATATGTCTGAAAATAAAAATAATTCATTGGTAATTTTTTTAAAAAAATTCAGAATCCTATTCTTTTTCTAAAATGTCTAATAAATCAACATTTACTAAGGCTTTGGTTTTGTTTATTTTAAAACATACTTAAATATATATTAAAAACAAGTATTTTGCTATTTATACCCACCTCATTCTTCAAATATTTAAGTGCCTAGGACAGATATGAAAATTAAAGTCTGCATTCCTGAGAAAATTACTTTAGAAACAAGTCATATATACACAAAAGCCCTAAGAATAAGAAAAGACTAGAAAGCAACTAATAAAGTATTTCTGTAAAATTCACATTAAATAAAAACATACACACACCCACGTTAAGGAAGATAATAAAATTCATTTAATAGGCATATTACATATAAACAATTTATCACAAATTTTGCATCTTAAGAGCCCACATGAAAAACCACAGTATACATAGATTAGAAGCAATGTATATCAGACAAAAACATCCTGGAGATGTTTACATTGTCAGGTTTATACTTTTCCTCCAAATATTTTTAGGGTTTGGGACCAAAAAAAAATTAATTAATTAGAAACAAACATTCTATAAAAAAAAAACCAATATGATTCTCCAAATTCCATTTATTAGTATTGATTGATTTAAATGTTTTATCTACTACCATAACAGCAGAATTAAAATCACATCTGGCTAAATAAGTCTAAAAGAGAATAGTGGATTTTTATTGGGTTTATAGACAATGATATGTATTTAAATGATCATACATTCTTAATCTTTTCCTTGGGTGCAATTTGGATGTAATCTGCCTTTTAATGACCTACATTGGACCTCATGGTTGCAATCCAAGTGAGTAGCATCACAACAAAATTATCTAGTACACACATGCTGCTTAGGGCTGCAATGTTACCATGGTTACTACCAGATCGAACATCTCAGGAAAGCAGAACCACTAAAGTCTTTCACCTTGCAGAAATTCAGCACTCTTAATATGTTGTGTGCCTTCATTTTCCTTCATCTGGGGGCTTTTCCGTTTGGTCTTGTGTTTTTCCTTCATCTTTCTTTTTTACATCTAAAAAAATAAATAATTTTCATCATATGTATAATATATTAAGATTTTCCTTTATGTACCCTAGTCATTTTCTACTTGATTAAGACATACTATGCCATCAGTCCAGACATAAAAATTACACAAAGAAAAGTCAGATCCCAACTTTTTTTTTTTAATTTTTTAAAATTGATTTTGTACAGAGAGGAAGGGAGAGAGATAGAGAGTTAGAAACATCGATGAGAGAGAGTCATTGATCAGCTGCCTCTTGCACACCCCCCACTGGGGATATGCCCGCAACCAAGATACATGCCCTTGACAGGAATCAAACCTGGGACCCTTCAGTCCCCAAGCCGACGCTCTATCCATTGAGCCAAACCGGTCTCGGCGCCAACTTTTTTTTTTTATTAGCAATTGGAAACTATTAATTTTAAAACACTTAATAATATTTATACTTAGCTAATTAAAAGAAAATAGGCCTTAAATCCACTTATTTATAACTCTGTTAATAAAACATTTTCTATGCCATCTACCTCTGTAAATGCGTTTCCTTTTGCGTATTCTTTAATACTTGGTGTTATATGTTGACTGTATTTTTAGTACTTTTAGTTTCTTAGTTGATGCCCTTGACTTTATTTCAAAACGATTTAACGAATCATATAAAAATAGTAGCAATATTCTTTCAGATAATAGTTTCTCTGGTGACCAGAATATAAAATGATGAATACTAACTCTCTTCCAGTATATTAGCTTTCTTTTCCTTAACTGAGTAATGTCAACATGTATTTTGGGGGGTGTGTTTGTGTTTATAAACTTTGATTAGACCTTTTATATTGACAATAACTTCTCTACTTCATTAGTTGGGGATGGTTATTCAACAGCTACATCATGTTTTGATAAAATCATACAGTTGTCCCCCCTTATCTATGGTTTCACTTTCTGCGGTTTTTAGTTACCATGGTCCAAAAATATTAAATGGAAAATTCCAGATATAACACTCATAAGTTTTAAACCGCACACTGTTCTAATTGTGATGAAATCTCATGTCATCCTGCTCCGTTCCACCTGGGGCATGAGTCATGCCTTTGTCCAGTGTCTCCAGGCTGTACATACAAGCTTCCCACCCTTCTGATCTTGGTGATCAGATGGACCATTGCAATTTTGCAGTGTTTGTGTTTAAGTGATCCTTATTTTACTTAAAATGGCCCCAAAGCCATTCACATGATTTTATTCCAGTATATTGTTATAATTCTTTTATTTTATTATTGTCATTGTTATTCTGTTGCTGTGCCTAATTTATAAATTAAACTTTACCATAGGGGTGTGTATGTATGTGTGTATATATATATATATATATATATATATATATATATATATGAGAAAACATAGTATATGTAGGGTTTGGTAGTATCTGAGGTTTCAGGCATCTACTGGGAGTCTTAGAACATATCCCCTATAGATAAGGGAGGTCTATTATATAATATATGGCATTTTCAAACTTAAAAAGCCAAAAAAAAAAACCCAAACATTACTTATGCTTTATTTTATTTTTATTTCTTCCATCTTTTTTTCATCTTATGTGCCTACTTTTTTATATTTATACTTTTTAAAAAAAAGATTTTTTTATTTAGTTTCAGAGAGAGAGAAAGGAAGAGGCAGAGAGAGAAACATTCATGTAAGAGAGAAACATGAATCAGCTGCCTCCTAATTAAGCCAAAAACCAGGGAATGTGCAACCATGTATGGAGTGACACCCAACCAACTGAGCCACACTGGCCAGGGCTTATGTGTATATTTTGTAACTTTACTAGTAGTGTCCCATTTGAGAAATGCAATGACCTTTGGGAAAAAGTGAGGTACATGGGACTCCAGGATCTGTCTATGGCCCTTGCCTAACAATGGCATGTTTATTTCATGGGAATCAAACCAGGAACATTAGTAACTTTACCAGGTAGTAAATAACCTGAGGCAAAGAACTAAGAGCCTTCTCTGGGGCTTCCATTAGTGGGTAGAGGTGAAGAAGCTTCTAGCTCTCTCATTCTTCACTGTGACCAGGAATACATTTCTACACACACACACACACACATACACACACACACACACACACACACACACACACACACACACACACACGTCTACCTTGACATCTAAAATGGGACGACTCAGCGATTCCACTTCTGGAAATATATCCGAAGAAACCTGAAACACTAATTTGAAAGAATATATGCACATTTATGTTCATTGCAGTGCTATTAACAATAGTGAGGATTTGGAAGCAGCCTAAGTGCCCATCAGTAGATTATCAGGTACAAAAGTTGTGGCACATTTACACAGTGGAATACTACATGGCCGTGAAAAGAAAGAAACCTTACCTTTTGTGATAGCATGATGCTCTATGTTAAGTGAAATAAGCTAGTAAGAGAAAGACAAGTACCATATGATTTCATTCATATGTGGAATCTAATGAACAAACTTAAACCAACAAAATGGAAATAGAAGCAGAGATATAGAGAACATACTGAAAGCTGTCAGAGGGGAGATCGTTGGGAGACTGAATAAAAAAGGTGAAAAGATTAAGAAGAAGAAAAACACACACACATAGACACAGACCACAATGTGGTGATAGCCAGAGGGAAAGTGGGGTGAGGGAGGCAAGAGAGGGTATAGAGCAGTGGTCGGCAAACTCATTAGTCAACAGAGCCAAATATCAACAGTACAACGACTGAAATTTCTTTTGAGAGCCAAATTTTTTAAACTTAAACTTAATGCCACTTCAAAATAGCCCACCCAGGCCATGGTATTTTGTGGAAGAGCCACACTCAAGAGGCCAAAGAGCCACATGTGGCTCGAGAGGCCGCAGTTTGCCGACCACAGTATAGGGGAAAACAAATGATGGCAGATTGAAACCTGCTTGGTTCTATTAACCAGTCACCCCAATAAATTCAATTTAAAAAAAAGAAATTAAAAAATAGAATGGGGCACATGGCACCAGTATTTTGGTAATGACTTGGAACTGAAATTATCTTTAACTTCTTTGAATGCTTTTAAATGAAGTTACTTTTAAAGACCTTTATTGAAATTATTATTATATTTAGTCCCAGAAAACTAAACTCTGCAAAAGCTATATGGGCTATATGTAAGCCATGGGGAGAAAGACCCAAGATTTTCCTTCATTTACTTAACAGCCCTCTCTCTCTCTCTCTCTCTCTCTCTCTCTCTCTCTCTCTCTCTCTCTCTCTTTCTCTCTCTCTCTCTCTCTTTCTCTCTCTCTCTCTCTCTCTCTCTCTCTCTCTCTCTTTCTCTCTCTCTCTCTCTTTCTCTCTCTCTCTCTTTCTCTCTCTCTCTCTTTTTTTTTCTTAATTCAACTACTGGTTGAAGTCTGATCACCTTATAGACAAATGCCTTCAAGATCTCATCTCTAGTTGATAATAAACTTCCTCTAAGAGAAATAGCTAAACTTATGGAATACTGCAGTGAGCCTGGCCAGCGTGACTCATTTAGTGATTGAGTTTTGACCTACGAGGCAGGAGGTCAAGGTTCTATTCCCGGTCAGGCACATGCCCTGGTTTCGGGCTGGATCCCAGTGTGGGGTGTGCGGGAGGCAGTCAATCAATAATTCTCTGTCATCATCCATGTTTCCATCCTTCGCTCTCCTGTCCCTTCCTCTCTGAAATCAATAAAAATATATTTTTAAAAATTAGTGCAGTGAAGCAGAGGCCCCTCAAGTGATCTGTCCGTGGGTGGAAGAAGAGAAATTATGTCCTTTCTTAGTACATCACAATCAATTTTGCAAGCTCCTTGAGAGAAAGGATAATATGTGCTGTTCTTTTACCCCCCAATCACCAGCACTGTGTATGACAATACACATCCAATGAATACATAAATGCTCAGTTTCCACATACAAAACACTACGAGACAAAAAGATGAAATTGTCCACTTTCGGAAAGCTGAAAAAATCTACTTGACCATAAACACAGAAGATGAAAGGGGGTAGTCAACAGTAGGAGAAACCAGCACTTAGCAGGGAGACGTGCAGAGGAGAGAATTGGTTCAGAGAGAAGTACTGCTGATTGTAAGAGAAATGTACTGTTACCTTCCTTTATGGAGAGGGTCTCCAGTTTGAAGGGCAACTCGGAAGTCCCACCTGTCCCAGCTGAACCCTGGATGTCTGGGATGGCATTCCGGCGTCCTGCCCTTGCTGAAGATGCAAAATTGTCGACGCCAAGCTCCACATCAGTCATTTCCGATGGCTCTGTCCTCATATCAACATCTACAAAGAGAAGGTGCACGTGAAGAAGAGGATGCGCCTGTTCCGATGTAAACACTCGCAATGGTGGCTGAAAGGCATGGCTTGCTCAGAACCACAACCAGCCAGCTCGGGAATCTAATCACTGCTCACACTCTGCATCTATGTCTACTGTTCTGGCCCCAGAGTTTCCATCTGCTCAGAACAGAGCAGGAAGTTCTCAGTGCGAGCCAGGTTGCTAAAAATAACTCCGAGCCAGAAGAGCCACTTGGATGTTTTAGGGTGCAGCAATCTCTTGCCTTTTGTTCTGCTTTTCTATGGAAGGATCAGCCAACGGGGACTGGGAAGGAAATGAACACTGGCTTGTTTGGCCACTCCCAGACTCTGCCTGCCAGGATTTGCTTTGAGTGTTTGTTCAGCCTAAAACCAAATCACTATAATCTGTGAGGAGCAAACATAATACACGCTGTTCCTGCTCTTTAGAAATAAGGAATTCAACTTTATCTCAAAGGTTCCCCCCATCCCCACCCTCCACCCCCAGTGACAGCTGTGTGTTTCTCTCTGCGCTCTTCTTAGACCTAATTTTCAACGCTGCATGTTCTGTTGGGGAGTGTAGGACTTGTTTTATCTTTTCTTGCCTTCAAATGGACATGGTGATTCCTAGCGCTTTCCTAAAGCATCCTTCATCTTCCCAGTAATTGTCAGTCTCTACAAAAAGGCTCTCAAGAGATCCCTCACTTTACAGGGAGAGAGGTAGCAGATATTGCTTATTCTAAAACCATTTCATATGTTTTCTTTTTTTCACCTTTCAAAAAAATGTTTAATTAGCAGTTAATGTACAATAACATATTAGTTCACGGTGTACAACCACATGATCGTATATTTATATAACTTATGAAGTGATCCCTGTTAAGTCCAGTATTCATCTGACACCATATATAGTTATTACAATATTGACTATATTTCCTATGCTGTACATTACATCCCTGTGTCTATTTTTTAACTATAATTTGTACTTCTTAATCCATTCTCCTTTTTCACCCCCTCCCCCAAACTCTTTTCCCCTCTGGCAACTGTTAAAATGTTCTCTGTATCATATGATGCTTCCCAATGAATCTTTCCTAAGAAGTCAACAGGATCGCAAATGCAGCAGGAGCAGAAACAATTTATTGAGAAGCTATTAAATGTTAGGCTCTCAGTTGGGCATCTAGAGTACAGAGGAATGATACATTCTCTGTTTTTAGGGGACTTGCACTCTCAAAGGGAAGAAAGAAGGTAAACATGCAAGCACAGATAACAACATGGAATGTGGTATCAACCAAAGGATGGAGATAATCATCATTTGTGGCACTTAAGGGTAGGAATTTGTGAACATTGGCCTATATACATAAAGCAAATCAAACTTTTCATGGGGAGAGCCCTTTGCAATCAGTGAGCTTCAATTCAGGAAATGCTAAAAATGAAGGGAAACAGTCACAAGATACGTGCATTTGATATTAAAAATGCAACTCTTTTTGGCCCATAGCATGCACATTGAATTTAGTGTTGGCCTGAGGAATCCAGAGTACCTAGGCTTCTTCTCCAGATAGTTTTGTTTTTTCTAGGAACTAGGAAACATTTGAGAACAATGCTAGAATTTAAACATAATTTTGAGCTCAATTAGGACTTCTAATTATTTAATATTCACCAACTGTCTGGCATTGAAAGATAGTACAGATTAATGTAAAGAGCACTGGACTATTATTCAAACAGAACATTCCAGGCTTACCAAGTTATATGGGTTAATCCATTTAATTTATCTGAGTCACTATTTAAAAAAAAAAAAATGGCCTGACTGATTCAGGGAATTCTTGCAGAAAAACTAATGAGAGAAAGAGTATAGAAACTCTTGGTAACTACAAAACCATATGGTTGATGACTGGCATCATGGCTCATGTCTCACTAAGTTTTATTTACTCTTCCACTCTCCTGTGTGCCCACTCCTACAAGAAATATCTGACGCCTGGAAAACCTCTTAAGTTTTTTTAAGAGGGAAATCAGCATTCATTCAACACCGCGTGAACATTTTCATGTCTATTATTCTCACTTAAACCTCCCCCGAACCCTGTGAGGTAGTGAGGAATCACCCTCACTCTGTGGATATGGAAACTGGAGCGCAGGAACTTTAATTGACTTACTTAGAGTGCACAGCTGCTAATCTAGCATCTAGTTTCAGCTTACTCTGAAAACAAGACGATATAGGTCACCACAAAACTAGCTTTCCAAGTCTCTGAGATATGTATAGCCACACAACAGCTACTTTAGATTCTGCCCTTCATTATTTTGAAATAGGAAAAAAAAAAACTATAATAATAAAAGCACAATATGCTAATTAGACCAGACATTTTTCCAGATGTCCTTCTGGACAACCTTCCAGATGAAGCCAGGGCTGCGAGGGAAGCCCAGGTCCCAGGTGCCAGAGGGAAGCCAGTGCTGACAGCCAGGGGAAAAAAAGGCCTACTCTTGCACAAATTTCATACATCAGGCCTCTAGTATATTTATAAATGTTTAGTTACCTTGTGACCACCCCCATGATGTGTGAATTTTAATTAGAGATGTCTTCTCTACCTGTGAGATCTCTAGCTTGTGAGTAGTTTTTGAGGCCAGTTTGGAAACAGACCATTTGCCGGCCATTCTGTCCTCAGTCAATTCCTATCACATCAGAAGCGATGACCATGATTGAATGTGTACTAGTATTTCTGTGAAACATCTTCCTGCGTAACTAGAAATAAGGGAACTATGCTGAGCTTGAACACCTTGGTTATTACTGGCCTGGTAGTCCCAATCTTAAAACTGAAGATAAACCCTAGACTGAAGGGTCCTAGGTTCAATTCTGGTCAAGGGCAAATGCCCAGGTTTTGTGCTCGATCCCCAGTAGGGGGTGAGCAGAAGGCAACCAAGCAATGATTCTCTCTCATCATTGATGTTTTTATCTCTCCCTCTCCCTTCCACTCTGAAATCAAGAAAAATATATATTAAAAAAAAAAAGGAAGATAATGTTAAAAGAGTACTGAGTTAGCACTTGTGCATTGAAAGAAAACTTCCAAAAGGTGGCTGGGAATAGGCAATCCACAAGGAAGAAGGGATTCTGGTCTCCAAGTTTATGTCAAGGTTTCTTTGCTGCTGGCTGCTATTTTGGAAGTTTTTGCTTTTGCCTTTATTATTTTTCTAAATTAGTCCTTTCTTATAACTTGACTAGAGGCCTGATGCATGAAGATTTGTGCAAGAGTGGGTCTTCCTTCCCCTGGCTGCCAGAACCACCTTCACTCTGGCCTGATCAGCCTTTCTGTGCCAGCCTGGAGCCTTCCCACGCTGCCCAGAGGCTGAGAGCAGCTGGGCACCTGTGTGGGCAAATTAACCCGCCATCTTTGTTGGGTTAATTTGGATACACACTCCTGATTGGCTGGTGAACATCACCAAGGTACAGTCATTTACCATGTTACTCTTTTTTTTTTTTTAATTGATTTTTTACAGAGAGGAAGGGAGAGAGATAGAGAGCCAGAAATGTCGATGAGAGAGAAACATCGACCAGCTGCCTACTGCACATACCAGGGATGTGCCTGCAACCAACGTACATGTCCTTGACCGGAATTGAACTTGGGACCTCTCAGTCCGCAGACCGATGCTCTACCACTGAGCCAAACTGGTTTTGGCTAGCATGTTACTCTTTTATTAGGTAGATCCTAGAAAATAAGCTCAACACAAAACCAAACATTTGTCAAAGTTAACTCACTCACTACTCTTTTCAGATTTAAAAAAAAAAAAATAGAATTGGACATGAAGGGAGGCCAAGCCACAAGCTGATTTCTCCCAACTCCCACTTGGCACCATCTTCCTCTCAGAGCCACGCGGACTGAACGGCCAGGATGCCGTGCTCCACCACAAGACGGGCACTTCGGCCAGCCCAGTCCTACAGGACTACGGGGAGGAAGCTCGCTACAGTGACAGCCACTTGGCCTTCCTGACAGAACGTATCTGTGATTTAGAGGTCACTGGCAGGGGCAGTGGAGCCCACAGGGTGGGTGATTCTAAACTGAGCTCTTTCCATTACAAGGAGGCTTAACGCAGCCTCGAAAATAATCCGAAAGTCCATGAAAGAAAAATAAGTCTGAAAAAGCTGTACAGATTCTATTACCTGCCATTGTAAGGAATGTGTTAAATCCAATTAGATCTACCCACGGAGATGTGTCATTGACACTTTGTAAAACAAGGCAAATTTTAAAAGTAATATTTACAGTGTGTGTGTGTGGGGGGGGATCTGGAGAAGGAAGAGGGGTTTTGAATATAATTTCACCTTTGTAAAAAGAATAAAAATCCTAGTTGGAAATGTGAGAGCAAGACAAATATTAACAATTTTTCAGTACCTCCTTACATATTTTAGCTTATAATAATGAGCATATATTACCTTTTGTATTTCAAAGAATTACAACGTTCACCTGGCAAAATTATGAATACACAGATATTCTAAAACAGAAAGGTTCTATAAATAACATTTTGGTAATTTAACAAAAAATAGTGAATCTCTAACTAAAAGCTTCTCTGTTCTCCAAATACTCATCTTATAATACTTGTCTGTTATTATCCTGTGCAACATTAATTGCCTATGCTTGACATTATTTTTAAAGGCATGATATATATGTAGATGAGAATTGCTCTATTCAGTGCTTTGTGACATTGAAAAAATAATATAGCACATAGAAAGATGAGGAATCACTGATAAGAAAAACAAAATAGAGATAACTTTCAGGTTCTTGTAATTTTCTGGGCTTAAAAAGCTATGTTTGTTTGCTAACCAGGGCAGCTGACTCACTAACAACTCCTCCTTTTTCTTCTACAGAATTAGCAGAGACATTTGGTCGAGTTCGGCTTTGTCAACTGTGGCTGATTACGGTAGCTGAAACCACTAGGATATTCGGAGATTTTTGCAGAAGTCCTGGGACACCCACATCAAGGTAATGTGATTTACATCACCTGGGA